GAAAACTAACGCTCTTAGCCTTGTACCAACAAAAGATTCCAACACCTTTCCATAGAAAATATTAATCTTGTATGAACACGTAGTTCTCCGCTACGGTCAGCGCTACACCTCACTTGAGTAGCTCGCTTACGCAAACAAAAGCGCCGATCGCGCTGAGGTGTCGTCCTTTTAGAGATGCGGTCTTAATCCTGTCAACGGTTTCCGTCTACGAGCACACTATTTGAGCAGTCTAGCAACTGTACGCTCGCGCAATGACGAAAATTCGACCGACAACTCTGCGCTTTAATTTAGGGACGCGCCAATCTTCGCACGCCAAAAGTTGGAAATTTCTCGATCTTCTCGGTCATCATGAACTTTTCCAAACTCGCATTGAAGAAATATGGAAACAATGGCTAAAAATCTCACATTCAAATCGAGCTTTAAAGAATTCAAAAGTAAAGCAGGGTTTCAAAAAAGAAATTGAAAATCTTTGAAATCTTTCCATTTCAGCACCGGTCAGAACTATCACACAGCCGGTACCGAGACCGAGAAAGCTTTCACTGCAAGAATCGTACTACTCCAAATCTGCTTCACGACTGGAATTGTAATGTACAAAATCGCTCTGATCATGCAAATAAAATCATAAAACTTTAATTAACGCTGAACTTACACCTGAAAAAATAGAACCATTGGAACTCCTCGTGTCTCTGATCGCGAGAGTCAACTTGAACATTACATTTGCCTTAATTCTTTTATTCCCATTGGAACCACAAAGTAACCCAAACCTGCCTGGGCAAAAATCGAAATATGAACAAGAAATTGAGCATCATGTGAACATATCCTGAAATGGGGTACGCTGTCAGACATGCTCATACCTCATACACTATTTGTTTCAACCCCGTTGTGGCAACAGCAGGTTTTCTTTCGAGTCTTTTGCACCAGTGGAGGGTCGTATACTGCACCAAATGCGTCACATATGCAGACGCAAGGAGAGAGACTTAGTCCGGTTTCTCTCAAACTTCAGAACTCATGATTTTTCACACATGGAAGGTAACGTAATTATAATAATTGTTTATCTAGTAAAACTATCAATACGTAAATCAATCATGTAAGAAAATAAGAAATGGAGAAATACACAGCACGACCCAAAATGGTATAACCGTTCCATCCCATCACAGCAGACAGGACGGTAAATTGTGTTTTCAGGACTTTGTACCGTTACTTTAAAATCGTGTTCAAAACACGATTCTAAAGTAACGGTGATGAAGAAATGTTTATGGTGGTAGAAAAAGATCACGAAAGTGGTGTGATAAAGACGCTGTCTTTGGTCTCGTTGCTCCTGAACAGTTTATGTGGTAGTACATGAAATCAATCGAGAAAAAAATAACGGCATGACAATCCAGCACCGTAATAAGCTCACTCTTTTGGATATCCTCTAAAATGAAGCATTTCCCAGTGTATCTTTTCTCTCAACATGACGCTTACTCGTAGCAACTTCCTTGAGCCGTGAGAGAAAAAGATGCAAATAAACAAAGAAACCATTGAAAACTGCCGGTTGGAAATAGGTAGCACGAAACCCTCCTCACTGAAACTCCACCCTCATCCCCCTGAAAATTCTCACTGATTCAACTTGCCTCAAAATAGTTATTTTCCAAAGCAAACACAAAACCAGTACGAGACCTTCCAAAGCACATCGAGTATTCCTTTTCTAACAAAAAATAAAATAGTTTCGGGTGAACTTAAAGCAAAGCAGTATCGAATTCTCTTAAGAGTTCAACGCTGTAAGCTATAACATTAAAAAAGGCAAACTCACGCCACCAAGCCCGTCAGCAAAAAAAAAACCAATTCACATTCAAAATTCATCACGCTTGAAACTTATGCAGTTTACTGCGTCCATTTAATGGCGAACCCACCCGACAGCACTGAACGCCATATTATTAGTAGGCGCTGAAGTTCCTCAGAATAAATGAGTGTCATACCTTTTTATTAGTATGGCCATTGGTATGGGCTGTGTCAGAGCACGATTTAGGGTTTCATACAGTTACATTCGTAGTAGCTTTCATGGCCGATGTCAGAGTCTGCGATTGGAGCGATCGGTCAAATGCCAATCGCGCGACCATCGCGCGATTCGCGCGACGATCGCGCGATTGACATGAGTCCCATCATGACCAATCGCTCCAATCGCGCGATGGGCGCGATCACTCCCGTTGTGGCTGGCGCGCCCCCTCTCGATCGATACCTCAGTCAACGTATCGATCGAGAGGGGCGCGCCAGCCACAACGGGAGTGATCGCGCCCATCGCGCGATTGGAGCGATTGGTCATGATGGGACTCATGTCAATCGCGCGATCGTCGCGCGAATCGCGCGATGGTCGCGCGATTGGCATTTGACCGATCGCTCCAATCGCAGACTCTGACATCGGCCACTGGATCAGAAAACCACTTCCCCGCGGTTAACCGCGAAACACTTTTCGCTACGGGACCCTCAAGTCCACTGCTGAACATGAGTGGACCCGATGGTCCCGCGCAGCGAAGTGTTTCGAGCTCGAAACGTGAAAAATTGCTTTCTGTCCTAGGGCCGTATGCTGAATGTTGGGGATGGGGAAAGGTTGGGGAGGTTCGTCGCAGGACCCACTTTGCAACGGTCGCACCTTTGATTTTGCAGCTTTGTTTCCATTCTTTTACTGTTCCTGATTGTATATTCGCTCGTCAATACCTTTCTTCATCCAAAAAACAGCGATGAAAGAATGGAAACAAAGCAACAAAATCAAGCGAATGCCCAGTGGATCCTGCGACGAACCTAACCTTTCCCCCTCAGCATTCAGCACATGACCCCTAGTGAACTACACATATACAGTTCAACGTTTTCGCTTCGGGATCTCAGTCGTTTCAGTCATGTTCATCGTCTTCGCCCCATATCCCGTAGCGAAAACATTAAACTGCAACAGGTATAATGGACCAAATGGGCCATATCCTACCCACCACAGCAATAGCAATAGAGCCTTAACACAATGAAAGAAAGCGAAGTTCACTACCCAGTGATGAAGCCTCTTGCGACAAAAAAAGCCGCGCCTTTTGCACCAAGTCCACACGTTAAAAAAGATTCACGGTCGCTTACGAAGGTACAGTTGGAACTAACCATAAGAACCGAAAGGATAGATACTGTACATTGGGAAACCTGGAATATTGGAATAAAAGCAGATGAATAAGTAAAAGGCACTTTTAATCAATGCGACAGTTCCGGTTCTTCAATATATATTTTTGCAGCCAAACAGTAATAAAAGCTCCATTGAAGTTCATTGGAATGTAAGCAAACGCGGTCAAAAAGAAGCAATTCGTGCGTGTTTCTGAGAATTTGGACACGCTATTTGCCCCTGAAAGCCCTTTCAATGGAACTTCGAGTTATGGGTTTTGACTCACTATATGTGCTTAAACCTTTGCCCAAAAAAACATTACATGTATAAGAGGACTCCGAAGCAAAAAAAAGTTGTCTTTCAAGCCTGGTAAAACTCCAAACTCAGCATACTACACAAAATAAAAGGACGGAAAACCAAAGCGAATCAAGGTGAACCGCTGCAAAAATGTGTTCAACTTCATTGAAAGGGTGCACAAAGTCTGAGCGATTTCAAAGCAATTTAGAGCCGTACGCTATTCCTTCGGGAGCGGAAAGCCACCTGAAGAATTCCTATGAAATATCGTGCCGCTTATCTCCTGTATATCCATCTGTACGAGAGCTCGGCGAGCAAGTACGCACTCTTTCTCTGTACTTCCGCTTTTCTACGAGCACTTTTAAAGGGCACTTCACCTTTTGCAAGAGCAGCATATGGCCCCAAAGCTTCTGCAGCACTCCCTTCACGCAATGGCTTTCATTATTTTGAACCTAACCTTAATTCGTACAAACCCACTCCTGCAAAAATTGGTTAGTGAAAGCAAATTTGGACGACTCCATTGTCAATGTGGGTCCGTATGCTAACCTTCAGCTCGAAAAAGCTCAGAATCCCCTAAATTTCGCTGCTTTTCCTAGGGAAAATTGCTCAAGCAATAAAAAAGGCACGTGTATCTGCAAAGACGAAAATATGTTGAAAGGAATGGAACGATTTGAAGGTGATTTCTTCTTCCTCCACAAAATGAACGGATAGAAACAGC